ACTTATTTCCACCCGTTTCCACCAGTGTAAAAAGTCTAAGAACCATACCTGTACAGTGTGTGCAATTGAATCCTCTTTTATCGCTTCCAAGGCATAAATTTGCACTAAGAAGGAAAAAAAAGAAAGGATTTGACAGTTACACATCATTTGTGTGGAGGCAACTTCTGGTGGAGGGATACGATGAGGTCGGGAATGCTTGTCGTCTCGCTTCGCAATCAAGGATTGTGGCCTCACTTTGAGTGTTGATGACAAAACACCATGCACTAATTTTAGCTTTCAAAGTATCTTTTAGGATGCACTATGTAATTAATTTCTAAGGTTTCTTTAAACCGTAAGAAAAATTGTTTAACCGTTAGCCGTAGGCCGTAAAGAAGGCAAAATATCCCGCCAGCCGTATATAGGAATCCGAAGACAAATAGTTTTCTTTAAAATCGAATTTTTAACAATTATTAAAATGCAAGATAAGAAACCGTTTTCAATATTACATAAATTCGGTCAATGAGATATGCGGCTTTACGTTCGCTGAAAAAGAAAATAAAAATTTAGACAAACGTTAAAAAATGTATATGTATTGTCAGATCCACAAATTGTCTACCAGTCTATTGTCTGTTGTATTCTTTTTCGATACTGACAGTAATCGAAGAATTGAAAGTTTACAATTTTTCTGACATAATTCTACAACCTAATTTTCGAATTTCTCCGGCGTAGTGCGGATGGGTCCTCGTGTCGTGCCATTTTTTGTCTACAGGTGGCTGCAAGTACTACTTAAAGTAAATGAGGTTATTTTGTGTAAATGCTCATTTTAACGAGAATAAACCGTTACGAATAGTATGGTTGAAAATCAGTGCGTGCGAGCTGGAAATTGCGCAGTTTTCAGGCAGTCCTTGCATGAACTAAAATGCAACAGCAGGACTTCTCTCGTTATAAATATATACAGTTGGCCTTTCTTTACCAAGGTATGGTGATATTTTTAGTATCCTGTCTTTCCTGACTAAACCACTGCCTAATTAGCAGAGGACATCTTCGCCATTTTTAATTCACGCCAAACCCGCCAAACCCTGCACACGTCATGTGATAGTCTGTCACGTAACGAGATCAACTAACAATTCATTCTGCCTTATAAATAAAGTCTAAACAAATATATTGCCATCGTGAACGAAACAGATATAGCAAAGAAACAGACCTAACAAATGTCACAAATTTTAACCGTACAGTGAAACTCTANTCTATGAGATATGCGGCTTAACGTTCGCTGAAAAAGAAAATAAAAATTTAGACAAATATTAAAAAATATATATGTATGGTCAGATCCACAAATTGTCTACCAGTCTACTGTCTGTTGCATTCATTTTCAATACTGACAGTAATCGAAGAATTGAAAGTTTACAATTTTTCTGACAACCTAATTTTCGAATTTCTCCGGCGTAGCGCGGATGGGTCCTCGTGTCTTGCCATTTTTTGTCTACAGGTAGCTGCAGGTACGACTTAAAGTAAATGAGGTTATTTTGTGTAAATGTTCATTTTAACGAGAATAAACCGTTACGAATAGTATGGTTGAAAATCAGTGCGTGCGAGCTGGAAATTGCGCAGTTTTCAGGCAGTCCTTGCATGAACTAAAATGCAACAGCAGGACTTCTCTCGTTATAAATATATACAGTTGGCCTTTCTTTACCAAGGTATGGTGATATTTTTAGTATCCTGTCTTTCCTGACTAAACCACTGCCTAATTAGCAGAGGACATCTTCGCCATTTTTAATTCACGCCAAACCCGCCAAACCCTGCACACGTCATGTGATAGTCTGTCACGTAACGAGATCAACTAACAATTCATTCTGCCTTATAAATAAAGTCTAAACAAATATATTGCCATCGTGAACGAAACAGATATAGCAAAGAAACAGACCTAACAAATGTCACAAATTTTAACCGTACAGTGAAACTCTATGGAACGAAATAACGATACATTGTTTTCACGGGAAACAAATGTGACCAGTTAATGAAAGTAAAGATAAAGCAAAAGCACAATAATCTTCGGTGAAAGGCATAAAGATAATGGTTGCTTTAACTCCAGCAGAAAAAGAATGTCTTGTTCTTTCCTTGATCTGGTTGGTGGCTTTTGTGGTACAGAGTAACGAGCAAAGCATCAGTCCACTCAGACAGTATCGCTGTCATCATGCAGCAAGGATATCAGAAGCTACGTACCAGCGTTTGTTACAGTTTTCAGGATGAGACAGAGATGGAACTTATATTAACACGAAGCGGGATTTTCGTGAAGCCCGTCAATTTTTCGGAAATGACTGTTTGCCCATTACATCCATTACATCGGATGGAGAAGAGCTAGTAGATTATGTTCTGTGCCTCAGGATGTCTCCGGTCACAAAAAGGAATCCAAACAAGTACCCGCAGCAGAAAGGGGAATTACTTTGCAGCACTTACGAAAAACCTCGTACCCGTCGGATCAG